TATTTATTTATGAGAGTCTCGCTCTGTTGCCCGGGCTAGAGTGCCGTGGCGTCAGCCTAGCTCACAGCAACCTCAAACTCCTGGCTCAAGCGAGCCTCCTGCCTCAGCCTCCCGGAGTGCTAGGATTACAGGTGTGAGCCACTGCACCTGGCCAATACTCAACATTTATTGAGCATCTACTGCATGCAGGGGTGCTAGACAGTCCTTGCTCACCATCACAGGGCAAACCTAACATAAACTGCCCGGCTCATCAGCTGGAGATCAGTGCTGCGGTAACTAAAGCAGGACACCAGGGAGAGGCCTCACCAGGTGGCATCTGACAGAGTGAGGCAGTGAGCACAGGGAAGCCACAGAGGCAAGTTTGAGCAGGTGCCGGACATGTGACTTAGTTCTAATGGGCTCCCTCTCTATCTGGCTTGAGAACAGACCCAAGGCAGCAGGGGAGGCCACTGCAAGGGTCCAGGCCAGACAGGGGCTGGTGACAAATGGTCAGATTTGCTGTCCCTCAGGCTGGGCAGGGCAGGAGCACAAGCATGGCTCCTGGCCGTCTGACCCCAGTGGCAAGTTGAAGCCCCAGGGAGTCCTTTTGCCCTTGGCCACAGAGCTGTGGGTGGAGACAGGAGCAGGGTCCATCTCTGAACAGGGGCCCCTCCAACAGGGGATGGAGGGACCAGGGTGCTCTCGATGCTGGATCCTCAGGCCCTGGCGGCGGCTGCCACACAGCAGATACGCAGGAACGTGTCAGAGCAGCAGCCTGGACACCCCTTGCCCCTCCGAGCCTTAGGCTGCTTCACAGGGTGGCTGGGTGTGCACTGGGATGAGTTACGGCCACTCCACCAGCACACGCACCTGAATGTCATAAACGGACGAGGCCCCGCTCCTCACAGCGCTTGTTTTACACTAACAGTTTGCCAGGACCTGTTCTCCGCCCTCTGCGTTCTTTAACCCACTTCATTATTTTTACCTTTGACACAGGGTTTCGCTGTTGTGCGGGCTGGAGTGCAGTGGTGTCATCATAGCTCACTGCAACAAGTGATCCAGCCTTAGCCTCCCGAATAGCTGGGACTGCAGGTGAAAGCCACTTCGCCTAGCTAAGTTTTAAGAGATGAGGTCTTGCTATGTTGCCCAGGCTGGTCTCAAATTCCTGGCCTCAAGGATCCTCCTGCCTCCCCAAATGCCAGCATTGTAAGCGTGAGCCACCCCACCCAGCCCACCTACTTCATTCTAACGTCAGAGGCAGAGGCCCACTAACTTGCCCAAGGCCACACAGCTAGTAGCTGAGCCAGAGGCAGAAGCCAGACAGCCCAGGCCCAGAGTCTGTGCCTGTGGCCACCTCAGACTATCACAAACACTAGGAACCAACAGGGAAAGGAGAGAGCAGGGCAACCAGGGAGAAGCTACTCTGGACAAGGGTGTCCAGGAAGACCTCTCTGAGGAGACCCTGAGCTGAGACCTGAATGACAAAAGCCAGCCTCGAGAAGATGAGTGTGGGCTTTCGGGCCGTTGGTGATGCCTGCCTGCTGTAAGTCTGGGGCTGCCACTGCCCTCCTCAGGGGCCACTAGAGGTGGGAGTCGATTTATCCTCTCGGCCTCAGCTGCCCACCTCGAAGCTGGAGCTGCATCAGCTGCCTCCCTGATGGCCCTGTCCGCCCCCAGGGTGTGAAGGTGTTCTCCGCTTCACTCCCTGCTCCCCCAGGGTCCACAAACCTGCCATAGCACCAGGGGCCCACCACCCCTCAGCCTGTGCCCTGTTGGGCTGCAAATGCCTCTCCTTCTCCGAATGGAGGCCCCACCCTGAGGGTCTGCTTGGGATTCCTTAGGCCACCCCACAAAAGGACACGCAGTCGTGGTGGCTGAGAATAAGTCAGCTGACTCTTTATTGCTGGGTGAGGGGAAGGGGCTCAGGAGCTCTTGGTGTGGCGCGTGCGCTTCCTCTTCACCATAACAGGCTTCTGGCTGCGCAGGATGGCGCTGGCCCTGCGGATGGCAGCCTGGGGGGAAGGCAGCACGGGTTCAGTGCACCCACTCCACCAGCCGCCCCACCTGCCAGCCTCCCGGGCCCACACAGGGGCGGCTGTCTTGGGGTGTGGCCCTCAGCCAGCCCCCAGCCATAGCCCCCCCCACTTCCATGGCTCACCTGCAGCCCTAGACCAGGAGCCCCAAGACCACTCACCATGCGCAGATCCGGGCGGTACTTGTTCTTGCGGATCATGTGCCGGATGCTGCTGAGGGTGGCCCGGGCGTTCTTGTTGATGGTGGTCCGCACGTAGGAGGTGGCAGGCTTCCGCTGGCCTGGAGGGGAGGGCAAGGTCCTGGGGTCAGTCTGTCTGGGCCTTTGGTGCACCTCTTGGGTGTGAGGACACGACCTTACTCCAAGGACCTGAGCACTCTGGGCCAGTGGGGTGATCCTGCGCAGGCCACCGCCCCCAACTAGCCCTTAGCCTTCTGGGCCAGGGCGGGAGATGGCCCTGTCCTGGGTACCTACATACCAGGGTTATAGTATGTAACGTGAAAATTACATGTTGACAACGGCCAGATATTTTCCCGACAGCCCTGTGTATTTACCTTGTGTTTTTTTTTCCTAAGAGATCCAGTCTCACTATGCTACCCAGGCTGGTCTGGGACTCCTGGCCTCAAGCCTCCCAAAGTGCTGAGACTACAGGTGTGTGTGTCTTTTGTCACACACGTATAGCAGAGCTGCTGTTTTGAATGTGGACATTCCAGGGAGTAGGTGAGGTGGGTGCTTGGACCCACCCACACCGACCAGGTCTGCAGCTCTGCAGCTCTGCTCTCCTCTCCCTCCCAAGGCCCAAACCACCCCTCTGGAACAATCTTGAACAGAGCTGGGGCAGAGTCAGCAACTGACAGCGAGGTGATGCAGGGAGGCCAGGTATGAAGAGCCCTGGGACAAGGGCAAAGTCTGGACCCCACTGCCCTGGATCAAAAGCAAGCAACTCCCTGACACTCGCCCAGTGGTGTCCGCCATGAAAACACCCTTTTTTTGTGCCAGAAGCCTGTCGCCTCAGTCAGGATCTGATCAGGTCTGGCCAGAGCCCTGTGCTCCTGGCAATGGGAAGCCCGGGCCATCACCACGGCAGCGGTTAAATAGCTCTGTGGAAATGCTGCTTGACCCCAGAGCAGAGCTCGTATTTCCCCCTCATGCCAATCCAATTCCTTAAGCCTAGGAAAAGCCACCCGTGTGTTCAGCAACCCCAGAGAGGAAAGCTTTAAAACCTAACCCTCCACAAGGGGGTCCTCAGAAGTCTGGGCAAGCACCCAGCTGCTCCCTGTGGGAAGCAGTCACTGAGGTCACAGGCTGGGGCTGTTGCTGCCACTGAATAGAAGGGTGTTCAGCTCTGAACCAGGACAGAGGCCAGCCCCAATCAAGAAGCCAAGAAAAACTCACTCTTTAAAAAAAAAAAAACCCTAGTGGAGAACAAATGCGGACACAGGCTCCTGTGCTAGAGACCCCTGCCACCCCTTCGTCTTCACAAGACACTCAGGGGGACCCTAAAAGGCCTGTACCTGATCGTGCCCAGTTTATGGGGGTGGGGTCCTCCAGATCTCTTCTGAGCCCACGCAGGCAGAATAGGGGTGAAACTGATACTTTCAACCCAGCCTGTCACCTCCAACGTATGGCAGAGGGCCCTGGCCCTGTTATACCTCAATTTTTTCACCTGGGAGATGAAGCCATCCACCCCCACCCGAGTTGTTTTGAGGATTTAATCTGAGCACATACAATCGTGCAGCCCTGTGATCCAGGCCTCACAGCCACTGCCAAGTCCAGGTTCTTCCTCACCTCTCCACTTTACAGGTGAGGGAACAGGCTAAACACGTGCCCGACTCACACAGCCGGCAAGTCGGCGCAACGCCAGGGATGCTCGACTCAATGACAGAATTACTCCTGCCCGACAGCGCAAAGGCCCCAGCTCGCTGCCCGAAAGGGGCCTGCCGTCTGGGCCAAGCCAGGACAAAGCCTCACCGGATCTCCGCTTCATGACCACCACGACACCTTTGCCATCGGCTGCCGGCTCCACGCCCACCGTCTTGCGGTGAATCAGCCCGTTGTAGCGGAAGGAGTTGCGGGCCTTCAGGTTATTGGGCTCCTGGAGGGAGACGGCACAGGGGATCGTGAAGAGGGGACCCCGAGATACGCGCAGACCCCTCCCTCTGACCCAGAGGAGAGTCGGGGAGCCAGGCGTCCGGGCCCACTCACGGTGCTGTAGGTCTGCTTATTCCTCTTGATCAGGAAGCTGGAGCAGTTCCGCACGACCATCCACTGCAGATGCGCGGACATGGCGGCGGCTGCGGGGAAACGGCACGTGAAAGGCGGGGGCAGGCGGAGCAGCAGGCCGGCGCCGGGCCGCGGCCCGCTCGGGAGCAGAGAGAGAGAGAGAGAGACTGGAAACCTGGGCAAATGGGAGCAGCCCTCGGGGAGACGGCGACCTACAACTTTCTCAGGCTGCCGAGACTCACTGCAAGGGATCTGGGGAGGGGGACAACGTGAGAACCCACAACTTCAGGCGCGGGGTTGGAAGGCCGCCAAGGACTCTTGGGTTTCAACAGAGAAGGAGGGCAGGGGGCACCGAGAACGGTCGGGGACGCGAGATGGCGGCCGCGCGGGGCGGACGGGAGGCGCACGCTCACCTCCCCTCGCTGCGGCGGCCGGACACGGAAAGAGGCAGGGAGAGGGCGGGGCGATGCCTTTAATACCTCACACGCATTTCCGCTTCCTCTCCGGGAACGCGCCTGGAGTCGCGCGTCTCCGCCTCTGAGGAGGCTCATTGGTGTTCGGCTATTTCCGCCGAGCCGTCGCGTGCCGCTCGGGAATCTTCGGAACTCTTCGGCTAGAGAACCGAGGGCGGGCTGGGAGCCATGCAACGGCGCCGTCCACGGCTGGGTTTCACCGTGGCTCTCAGCGACCTCTCTCCGGTATTGCTCACCCAGTGCTTGGCACATAGCGGGCGCTCAATAAACATTTCTTTTATGAATGAACGTGTCAACGCGTGAACTATTTAAGCCCTAGGGCCTTTGGGTGTTTCCGGCTTTCTTCATAAGCCTTCGGCTATGCCCTATGAGGGCACCGAAGCCCGTGTGGGCATTTTCGGAACTCTCCGCAAACCCTTTTTGGAGGGCTGGCCACCTTCTCCTATTCGCTCATGCCCAGTTCGGGTCTGTTCGGAAACACTCGGTCTCCATCCGGGCACGTTCGGAATCCTTCGGCTAATCCCGTCACCTCCGTGCAGTTGGCTCTCCCCAGGGTTTTCTTGAACTCTTATACTGTTCAGAGCATGGGGAGAGCCCAGACGGAACCTTCTCGCAGACTACCAGGAGAGCGTGGATACCCTCCAAGGGCGGGTTGTTTGGAGCAAGGGAGATTTGCATGTGGCAGCTCTTGGTTCCCAGCCTGTTCCCTGTGCCTGGCTGCCCTCCCGCCTCCGTGTGAGCTGTCGCACCCACTAAACTCCCTGAAAGTTTATTTTCTGTTGTCAGGGGCATCCTCGAGGAGCAGGAGCCTGGGCCGATGCTCTCTGTGTCCTCAGCTCCACCAGCGGTCTGGCGCCCGGGAGGCCTCCGAGAGGCCCCCTGAACGAAAGGAGTGACTGCGCCGGGGCCGGGGATCACACCTGGGAGCCCCTGAGCGCGGGCCCTCGTCTGGCCTGTACCTGAGTCCTGACAGTCGGGTTTGCCCGCCGCCTCCATTAGAGCACTGTGGGTCCGACAGTGGTGTCGGGAGCTCCTGCGAGTCGGATCCGTCGTTGCGCCCTTGGGTTCATTGTCTATGAGTCCGGACACAAGGGAGGCCCCAGAAGACACACGTTGAATGGAAGAAACTCTCGGCTCCTGCAGAGCCTCACGCATCCCCCTTCAGAGCACCCTGATTCTCTGGGTCCCAGAGCTCCCTGGGGTCTGGGGGCCTGGTCTGGGTTTGTTTCTACGTCGGAGGCCTCGGGAAGCTGGCACCGAGTACAAACAACGCCCGGGCTCCCACGATGTCCTACGCTGCCACAGTCAAAGTGCCCTGGATTTTGACCATGTGTTACCCCCTTGGGTGGCACAGGCCCTGGGCTGGTCCCAGCGCCGGCGTCTGCCCTGCACAGAAACCGCCGCCAGGGAGCCCCCAGCCGGCCCGTCCGCGCCCAGCCCAGCTCAGGTGACCCGGCTGGCGCTGGGCACACCTGGCCCCGACTCCTGACCCCGCCCCGGCCGCACCCAGAACGCTCTCCCGGAGCCGGCGGCGGTGCAGGCCATGGCGGCGGCGCCCGCGGTGTGCACCTTGCAGGGGCCCCCGTCCGGTGCCCCGTCCGCGCCGGCGGCCGCACTCGCGCCCGCGGCTGGCCTGGGCCGCTGCCGGATGGCGCTGCTGCTGGCGGTGGCGCTGGACGTGGCGGGCATGGCGGCGCTGCTGACCGGCGTGTTCGCGCAGCTGCAGGTGCGCGGCCGCGACTTCGGCGACCTGCTCATCTACTCGGGCGCGCTGCTCGTCTTCCTGAGCCTGCTCGGCTGGATCCTCTGGTACACCGGCAACATCGAGATCTCGCGCCAGGAGCTCGAGCGCGACTACGGCCTGCGGCCCTCGGCGCTCGCCCGCCTCGCGCGCAAGCTGTCCCGCCGCTGGTCGGCGCCCGCCGCCGCCGGCCGGCGCCCGCCGCCCGGCTCCCGGGGAGCGCGCCGAGCCACCCGCGCGCCCCCGCCGCCCGGCTCCCGCCGCGTGCGCCTGCAGCTCGCCACGCTCGAGGCCGGGCCCGGGGCGGCGGGCGCGGGCAGCGAGTGAGCCCGAGGTGAGGGGCGGGCGGGGCCGTGGCGGCAGCGGGAGAGGGGCAGAGACAGACCGAGCGATGGATGGAAAGGGAGAGAGATAGGGAGGGCTGCACTGGGGAGGCGGAGACACGGAATGGGGTGGAGGCGGGACGGGAGAAAGTCTGGCAGAGCTAGCAGAGACCCAGAGGCACGGAGCCGCACAGACGGCGGGCACAGGCGCAGACTTGGGGTAACAATGAGACCCTGCCCCTGGAGAAAAGTTGCGCGTGGGATTGGGGGGAATCACAGCGCCCCCGCCCCCGCCTTGGAGATGCCTCCCTCGCCCCAGCCTCCAGGTGCACCAGGACGCTTTTAATCCTCTCGGGTGTAACCCGGTCTCTGAGGTCACTGCTGTTACCATCCCAATTGCACAGTGGAGGAAACCGAGGCCCAGAATGGTGCCACCCTTGCCCAAGGCCACATGGCACGTAGGTGGAGGATTCTCCTGACGGGAAAGAGTGAGGGGGCCAACTGAGGCAGGAGAAGTAACATAACCGCTCCTTCACTCCCCTTTCCCTCTCCTCGACCTCTGTCCCCTTTCCTAAACACACTCGCAGGCAGCCTTCTCCGCACCAGGCGTGCCCTGCTGTCCCCACCCCACCCGGCAAACTTCTCCTGTGTTCTTTAAGACCCGACTCACTTTCTCTGCCCTTCTTTGGGTCTTCATGTTATCTGCTACCCCTATTGCTGCTTGTGTGACCCGGCGCTGTGTCTGCCTGTGTTGGAATTTCCTCTCCCACCTAGACCTGGGTGTGTGGTGTCTTTGTACCTAGCATTGCCCAGCAAAAAGTGTGAACTCAGGAAAGGTTGATGGTTAGGTAGCTAGGTGGGAGGATGGATGAATGGATGGATGCATGGATGGATGGATGAATAGATGGGTGGATGGGTGGATGGATGGGTTGTTTAATGGATAGATGTGGATGGGTGGATGAGTGGGTGGGTGGTGGATTGGTGAATGGGTTAGTTGATGAATGGATGTGGTTGGATTGGTAGTTGTGTAGATGGGTGGATGAGTGGTTGGAGGATTTGGGATGATAGGTAGGTGGATTAGTGGATGAATGGGTTTGTTGATGGATGGACGGATGGGTGGAACAATGGATGGATGGGTGACTGAATCAGTTTCCCAAATGGGGATTTCTTACAAGAATTAAGCCCTGCTGTTCTAAGACATTCTCTGTAGGTAATGAATTAGCTTTTTGCCCTGTGCATCCAGGACGATACTCATTATATATTATTCTTTGTGAGAACTGAGAAAATAGTCACCCTGATCATATCCTATGTTCTGTGGTTCAGATGAGGAAACTGGTTTAAGAAAAGATGAACAACTGTGTGCACGTGTGAAGCATGAGCTAACGCAAAATTTGACATATGATGCAAAAATAACCACCTGTGGTTAAAATTGCCCTTGAAAATTCTTCACACTGCCCAAAAGCCTAACACAGCTGGGTGGGCCTCTACTCCTGGAACCACCTGCTGGACACCCAGACCAGGCTGACTCAAATGCAGACCTCTTTTACAAGGACAATGGGCCTGTTCGAACTCGGGCTTCCTCCTTACTGGGGAGGGTGCAGCGCTTCCGGCACATGAAGGACAGAGAACTTGAATTTTAGCAGAGGGACCCATAGGTTCCAGCTGTAGTAGCTCCCCTCTCCCTCTGAGACCAGCATGAGTTGAGTAGCCTGTCTCCCTGTCTCTCTTAGTCTCTTTGTCTCTGTCTACCGAGGTATCTCCCCAGGTCTCTTTTTCTCTTTGTTCCCCTGCCTTTTTTTCTGCATCTCTTACTCTCTGCCTCCCCCTGTCTCACATTCCCCGTCTTGTACCCATGGGCTGCGAAGAGTTGACGGCACGCATACCCGTGCACACGCGTATGCACACATGCACACATGCTGGGGCTCTGCAGCAAACGGGGGATGCAGGCAGGAAGGAGCGAGGGAGCAAGCGTGTGAGTCAGGGCACGAGGGGAGCAGGCAGGAGGAAGCAGCTCCCTGCCCCTGCCCCCCAGGCCACCAGGTGGTGGGCCCAGGAGCACAGGGATGGGGGGTGCTGAGCAGTCACTAACCCAACCCTCCCTCCTGCAGATGACCCCACGGCCCCACCTGTCAGGACTGGACTGAGATGTGCAACTGTCCCCTACAGCACTGCCACCAGGATGCTACCTGTCCCCCCTCTATCTCAGTGGGATAAACAGCTCTGCCTCACAGCACTGCATGTGTGTCTGGGAGAGGGACAGTGCTGGGGTGGGGGGAAGGTTGCTTGCTTCCTTCTAGGACCCAGAGCCCAGGTGGGCCTGGCCGCACCCAAAGTGAGGCTGCCCATGCCCTGGGGGGACCTGAAGCCACTGGGGATGTGGGAGCCCAGCTGCTTGTTGGCCCTTCCCGGAGGGGAACAGGGCGGGGTGGGAGTGAGGACCTCAGGCCCAGACCCACCCGCTCCACCCACCCTCCCTCTGCCCAGGCCTCCCTGGGTCCTCCGAGAAGCACGGACACGGGGGCAAATTGGACTTGCAAGATATTTATTGGGGGAACACTTATGGAGGGTGGCTTGGCGCAGGTCTGTCACTTGCAAGGAGACAGGTGAGGGGGGTTGGGTGGGATGAGTCTTGGTCTTCTGAGAAAGTTTCAGCTGGCCGTGGGGCTTCTGAGAGCCAACGTCCTCCGCTGGGGGCGGGAGGCCCACGGCCTGCCACGTTCGGCCATGGGGCACATGGTGAGTGGGGCGCTCCCTGCGGGAAGACGGCTGAGGACACATTTCCAGGCCATGGCACGCCACCTCCCCCTGCCCTAGTCAAGCACCCCCGGCCGCCCGGCCTCCCTCCACATCCCCCCACTCACTTGTTTCAGACACTCCTCACTCGAGCAGCCACCTCCCCCTCAGTCCAGGGCCCCCGCAGCCTAGGACCCCCACTCAGCCGGATTCCCCCCCGACTCAGCCCGGTCCTCCTTAGCTCAAATTCTCCCCACTAACCTCCCACCTCTCATTCCAGAGCCCCCCTCAGCTCACATCCCCATGGCCACAGCCTAGCACCCCTGCTCAGCCTGGGTCCCCCAAGGCCCCCTAGGGCACACACGCCCGGACCCCTGCCCCAGGTGTGCATTGAGCGTCCTGCTCCCCACGGCGCTCAGAAAAGAGACCACGCGTCTATAGGCTATCTCTGTATTGAGGGATCCCCCAGGGATCCCCCTAATCTTCATCTTCCCCACCCTCCGTTTCCTCGCCCCCTTCTGTCGTCCCCTCCCCCTCGGTGCCCCCCGAGGCTTCTGCCCCCTCCGCAGGCAGGGAGGCCGGCACGCTGGCCATGGATGCGGTCTTCTTGTTACTCGTTGTCGCTCGGTCCTTAGAGAGCAGTGAGGCCGTCCTCGACACGTTGCATTTACCCGACAAGAAGGGTGGCAAGTGCAGCATGTCCCGGCGCTTGGCCCACCTGGCAGGGAGGGACACACTCAGCCGGGCCTCCCGCCTGTTCCTCGCGGGGTGCCGGCACCCTCAAGCCCCAGCCCCACTTGCCAGAACAGGCAGATGCTGCAGATCAGGAAGAGGAGGCCGCCGCAAGTCCAGCCCAGGGCCCACATGTGCTTCCTTCGCATATTTTCTGCACAAAGGGGGAAGTTAAGACCCAGGGGGCCCAGCCACCTGACCCAGGTCCGTCCCAGGGACCCAGGCTTTGGGGCTCTCACCATCCGGACGCTGGTGGTAGCAGACCCCATCTCGGTAGCAGCATCGTAGACGCAGGCAGAGGTTGGGGTTCTCGATTGCCGCCTGACCGCCACAGCTCTCCCTGTCCCACACGTCACCTTCACAACCTGGGGACACCATGAGTGGTTGGCTTCATCACAGAGCCTGGCCCCAAAGACCTCAGACACGAGGGTCCCAAGGCCAGGCTAAGGGGCTACCTGCCTAGTGTTTGTTCTGTGCAGGACCCAGGACTCCAGGACTCTGGCCCTCCTCCCTCAGACCCGGGGGTCCCCCACAGCCCCTCCTCCCTCAGACCCGGGAGTCCCCCACAGCCTCTCCTCCCTCAGACCCACAGGGACCCCCACAGCCCCTCCTCCCTCAGACCCGGGGGTCTCCCACAGCCCCTCCTCCCTCAGACCCGGGGGTCTCCCACAGCCCCTCCTCCCTCAGACCCACAGGGACCCCCAGGCCGTCCTCCTTCAGACCTGGGGGTCCCCTCCAGCCCCTCCTCCCTCAGACCCAGAGGGTCACCCAGCCCCTCCTCCCTCAGAACCAGGGATCCCCCCAGCCCCTCCTCCCTCAGACCCAGGGGGACCCCCAGCTCCTCAGACCCAGGGATCCCCCCAGTCTGTCCTCCCTCAGAATCAGGGGTCCCCTCCAGCCCCTCCTCTCTCAGAACCAGGGGTCTTCCCCAGCCCCTCCTCCCGCAGACCCAGGGGTCTCCCCCAGCCCCTCCTCCCGCAGACCCAGGGGTCTAATCTGGGCTTCGCCTCCCCGGGGGACCCAAGGTTTCAGCCACTGCTCACTCCATGGATAGAAGAATCCCTGGATTCCGTTCCCATCTGTGAGAGAAAAGGGCTGGTGTTGGGGGCTGTGTGGAGGCCGAGGAGGCCCCTGCTCAGCTCCCCACCTTCTCAGCCCCCTCACCTACTGAGCCCTGCAGCAGCAGGAGCAGGCCCAAGCCCAAAGCTGGGATCCCAGAGCCCACCATGTCGCCTCCCCAGACCCCTGGGGCCTCTGAGGGAAGAGTCCTAGAAGGACATCACCCCAGCAACCAGGTGAGCCCCGCCCACCTGGCCCCCAAGATTCTGAATTCTGTTGCTAGGGAGTCCCCTTAGCTATGGGGAGGGAGGGGGCTCACACTGGCCTGGCCATGCCCTGCTCAAGGGAATCGATTCTTTAGGGACCAAGCGGAAGAGGCAGGGTGGGGTGGGGTCTCAGGCTTAGAAGAGCCTCCTTAGCAACTTGGGTGGGAAAGAGAAGTCCAGAAGGGCCTGGGGGTCTGGGGCATCTTCTTGTCACCCAGGGAACCCTGGGGGTGGGGATGTGGGAGACCTTCTGGCTGGGGAATCCCTTTCCTTAGTAATCTGGTGCCTGAGAAGGTCACTCCAGTGACCCAAAGGCTCAAGAAACCCTGTTGCTAGGGAGTCTTTCCTCTTAGCAACCAGGAGGGGGGGGTCTTGAGGGACAGAAGGCCTCACTGAGCCCCATTGTTAGGGAAGGTCCCCCTAGCAACCAGGAGACCCGGGAGGGGGATGAGACCATGGGGCTGGAGCCAGGGGCCAGAGCCTCAGGCGGGTCCCCTGGTTCCAAGGGGTCCTCAGAGTGGCTCTTCCACTCGGGCCACCTTCTCTCTACTGAGTTCCTGCTGAGATTGGAGGAAATGTGGAGGGCACTCCTAAGTGAGGAGGTCTCAGTTCCCAGCCTGCCTGGTGGCCGGAGACTGGGGGCTGGGGAGGGAGTCCTGTGGGTGGGGGAAAGGGGGATCATCCAGCCTCCATTTTGCTCTCCCCCAGTGGCTGCGGAGAGACTTGGCTTCCAAGAGGAGGAAGCCAGACTGGAGGCTGGTGGGACCACGATTCCTGGTTCACCCAGTCTCGACACCCACTCAGCTTTGCAGCACAGCGAGGAGGGAATCTCCTCTTCCCTGCGCCACTCTCTATTTGGGCTACAACTCCTGAGTCTGAGGGACAAGGAGGTGGGGAGCCCTGACACCTGAATTAGAGGAAGCCTGGGAATTGGAGGGTCAACTCCTGGGTCCGAGGAGGAGGGGCTGGGGGGACCCCTGGGTCTAGGGGAGGAAGGGCTGGGGGGACACTTGGGTCTGAGGGAGGAAGGGCTGGGGGACTTCTAGGTCTGGGGGAGGAGAGGCTGGAGGGACCCCTGGGTCTGAGGGAGGAGGGGCTGGGGGATCCCACAGTCTGAGGGAGGAGGGGCTGGGGGGACCCTAGGGTCTGAGGGAGGAGGGGCTGGGGGCCTGGACCCCTGGTCTGAGCGGGGACAATCCGGGAGCCAGACCCCATTCCCAGTAAGCCCGGCAGGCTGACTCCCTGTCTTACCCAGCTCTCCTGTAAACATCCTGGTGTGTGCTGAGTGGGCCCTGGGCTGCCTTCGTCAGAGATGACACAGGTCAGAGGGGGCTCGGCAGGGGGCCGGGGGTGGGGGTCAGAGGGGTTGTGGGGCTGAGGCTGGGCAGCTGCTGACCGTTTCCTGTGTCAACATCATCTGGTCCCACTTCCCAATTCCCGGGATTCCTCAGGGATCAAGGAGGGGGTGGGGGGGCGGGGCCGGATTGCCTTGGACCACGGCTTGGGACTTGGGGGCCCCCGCCGTCACAGCCCTCACCGCTAATGACAGGTTTGGGCTGCTTCTGTGGCTGGACTGCCCCGTCACCCCCCAGAGGCCAGACAGGACCCCCCAGGGACAGACAGACGGACACACACAGCCTCGGACCTGCTGACCTCACACCCTGCCAGCCCGGCTTCCCCCGGGGCCAGCACATGCACAGGGACTCCCTGCCCCCCACGGCTCAGCGGCATCTCCCCCAGGAGCTTCTGGCAGCCTGGCTCCCAGTCTCTGAGCTGGCCTCGTGCTTCCACCGTTCTTGGCGTCACTGCCTTCTCGTCCCTCTGGGTCTCTGTGCTCCTGTCTGTTTCTGTTTGTCTCTGTTGTCTTCTGTCATTTCTTGGGATTTCCCAACCCTGCCTCTGGGTTCTGGTTCTCTCTTCCTGTCTTCACCTCTCTCTCTCTCCTCTCTCTCACCCCTTGTTTCTGCAGAAGTCGCCCAGCCAGGTGTCCCCCCCCCACTGGCCTGGGGAAGACCCAGGAGTCCAGAGCAATTCCCTGCCCTCCTGCCACCCCATCTGCCTCTGCTCCTGCAGCCACACTGGGGGGGATGAAGTCTGACCCCACAACCCCCAGGGTAAGGGCCCAGCCAGGACAAGAAACTGGGACCCCTGAATTGTCCCTAATTATGACCTCCCCCACACAGAGCACTCCCCAGAGTGCAGAAGGGCCACAAGATTCTCCTTCATCTTTCTCCAACTAGGATTTAGGGCCTGGACACCTTGGTCCAAGAGAGGAGGGGCTGGGGGCCCGGACCCCTGGGTCCCTGTAGGTGGAAGGCGCTGGCATTCCCAGATCCCTGTTGTTGCTCCCGGGCTGGCCCCAGGCCAGTCCCCCATCCCCTCAGGCTAGTCCATCCCCTAAGCTGGTGGCCTGAGTCACCTTGGCTGGCCCTGCCGGTCTGGGGGGGGCTACGTCAGCTCTCCCCTCACTGACGCAGCCTCGGGCCCCCCACGCTGACTCAGCCGGAAACAGGCCCCCTGAGGGGCGGAGACCCAGTGGTCAGAGGCCTGGGTCCCAGCGGGAGCCAGGGCTGGGGGGCCCCTGGAAGGGGTGGCTAAGACAGACCAAAGAGGCAGAGAGAGGGCTCTTACCTGAGGCGATGAGGTCATGTCCCACCATGGGGGGGCTGTGACCTCACCTCCTTGGGGACCTGAGCAGACGCCCCTCCAGGAGTAGTGGATGGGGAGGGGGAGGCCTCCAGCTGCCATTCACCCCCAGAGCCCCCTGCCAGCTCAGCGCAGCCTCCAAGGCTGGCAGGGGGTCTGCAGGGAGAACTCGGGAGGTCCTTCTACCTCTTTGTGCTCTCCGTCCAATGTCCAATCCTGTCCTCCTCTGCCATCTACATCCTGGGGGGGACACTTGGGAACTTAGGTTGTGTCCCTGTCCCTCCCCTGTTCTATTATGCTCACCCACTGAGTGCCTGGGTGCCCCTCTCCTACCGGACCACCTCTCCTGCTTCTGTCTCCCCGAGTGGCATTGCCCCCTGGCCATGCCCCCCATCCTCACTCCATCTCTCCTGCTCACCAGCTCCGCCTCTGCCCCAACCTCCCCATCTCCGCCAAAGGCTACATCTTTTTCTTTGTCTCCCAGATGTGTTAATAAAAATTAACGGGAGAAAAACGCTGGTTAACAGTGATTGAGTGCTGACTTTGTGCTTTATGTCAATGAGCTCACTTCATCCTCATCCTGGGGTTTGGGGGCATGGGGGGCTCTCACTGTCCCCATTTCACAGATGAGCCAACTGAGGCATGGAGGGGCAGTCACACGTCTGAGTTTGCACCTCTACAGAGTGTCTCCACGCCTCTTTCTCTTGGTCCTGTCGCCGTCTCTGGTTCTCTCCCACCATCATGTCTCTCCCTGTCTCTCTGAGAGAGGCTTCCCCTCTCTCTGCCCCCAATGCTGAGTCGCCAGCATCTCCAACGTCTCTGTCTCTCTGTCTCTGTCCCTGGGGAACCTCTCCGTCCTGGTGGCTCTGCCCCACATCTCTGTGCATTTCCTCCGCTGCCTGCTTGGTGTCCCGTCCCTCTCCTCTCTGGGTCTCTGCAAGTCCCTCCTGCTGTCTTCATGTCACTCTCTGATCTCTGGCTCCCAGAGCCTCTCCCTTCTGTCTCTGGCCCTCTCTGCTTCTCTGGGCTGTCTGCCTGGCTCCTGTCTCAGTGTCCCCATCTCCCTGTGTCTCTGTCTCCCTGTCTCCGGTGTCGTCCTCCCCCCCACGCCCCCACTGTCCTTTGGAGCCTCTCTCCCTTGCGCATCCATCTCCCCAGGCCCCTGTCCCGGTGCCCTGGCCTGGCCTCTCCCTTCTCCTGCTCCCCATCTCTCTGCCTGTCCGGGTCCAGTCGGACCCCCACCCACAGTCGGGCCCCAGCTCCGGAGCCATGTGTGTCTGCTCCAGCCGTGGAGGTGGAGGGAGGGGACGCCAATGACCTCACCAGACCCTCTCCGACCACCCCCCCTTTCCCTTTTCAACTTTTCCAACTTTTCCTTCCGTGCCCTCCTCTGAGCGCCGCGCGAGTCCTGAGAGCAGCGGCTCCGTGTGAATGGAAAAGGCAGGCAGGGAGGGTGAGTCAGGATGTGTCAGGCCGCCCTCCCCTGCCGCCTGCCCCCCGCCGCCGCCCCGGCCCCTATATAACCCCCAGGCGTACACACTCCCTCACTGCCGCGGCCCTGCTGCTCCCGGCACATGCCTCCCCTCCCCAGGCCGCGGCCCAGCTGACCCCCGGGGCTCCCCCTGGCAGCGGACAGGGAAGGGTTAAAGGCCCCCCGGCTCCCTGCCCTCTGCCCTGGGGAACCCCTGGCCCTGTGGGGACATGAACTGTAAGTTGGTTCAAGCTCATGGGTGGAGGGGAGAGGGAGGGAGGGAGGGAGCGAAGTTGGGGAGACACCGCTGAGCCGCAGACAGGGACAGAGGAGAGCGCGCCGTGGGGAGAAAGGGCGATTCAGAGAAAGCAGGAGATGGGCAGAGAGGGGCAGAGAGGGACGCAGAGACACAGACGAAAGCAAGGGACAGGCCAGACAGGGCCCCGCGACGAGAGAGCCAGGGGGATTCACAGACAGGGACCGAGGGACAGATGCTGGAGTTTTTCCCAAATGGCTCGGGGCCCCCAGGGAGTCCGCGGGGACCCGGAGCCGCAGACACCCAGGGACCCTGACAGAGAGGCTCCCGGGAGGGAAACTGAGGCAGAGTCGGAGAAGAAGAGAGCAAGCCCGGGAACGCGGTCCGGCCGCGGGAGGCAGAGGGACGGGGCGTGGACAGAAAGCTGGGAGAGCCAGACAGATGCGGGTGGACGGACAGCAGGCCGGACGGCCGGGGAGGGGCGGGAGGACGGGCCCGGCGGGACCCGACCAGGGGGCGGGCTGGAGGTGTGCTGCGGCGCGGGCGGCCCGGGGGCGCTGATTGGCTGACGGGCGGGGGGGCGTGGCGGGGGGGCTGCGGGGAGCCCCAGCGCCTCGCCGCCCGCGCCCCTCGCCCGTCCCGCCCGGCGCCGCCGGCTCCTCGCTCCCCGCCCAGGTGTGCTGCGGCCGTCCCGGCACCGCGGCCGCTTTCCGCGGCTCCTGGGAGGGGGCGCCGTGGGGTCTCCCCGAGAGGCTCGGCGTGTCCGGGTCTCGGTGCCGGTCTTGGGCTCCCTCCCCTGCTCCCAGTCCAGCGCGGGCTCCCGAGGCCCGGGGAGGGGGCAGGTTCTGGCCTGTGCCTCCCCCCTCACGCCCCGCCCCGGGGCCCAGATTCCGGCGTCCGGGGGCGGACGGGAGACGCCCGGCCAGTCTACCCGCCCCGGGCCGCGTCTGCTCCGACGGGCGGGGCAGCCAGAGCCGGGGAGGGAGAGGGAAGCCCGCCCCGGCTCTGCGACCTGCCTCCGGGCGCTCCACCCGGGGACTTAAGACCTCCGGCCCCTCCTCCCTCCGACCCGGGGGTCCAGCGCCAGCCTGAGCTCTCCGCCTCCTCCGCCCCTCCCCCCCAGGTGTTTGCCGCTTGGTCCTGGTCGTACTGAGCCTGTGGCCAGACAGAGCTGTTGCCCCTGGGCCACCTCCTGGCCCTCCTCGAGCTTCCCCAGACCCTCGGGCCGAGCTGGACAGCACCGTCCTCCTGACCCGCTCCCTCCTGGCGGACACCCGGCAGCTGGCCGCACAGCTGGTAGGAGAGACTGGGCCCGGGCCAGGACAGGATGACAGGGATGGAGAGCCGCCGAGAGGGCTCTTGGGGCGAGCCGCCTAGAGGGCTTCTGGGCTCTGGGGGTGGCAGTCAGGGGAAGGAGGAGTTTGGGGCCTGAGGCGGGGGTCGGAGGAGCCCCAAGGCTGGGTGGAGGGTCCCCTCACAGCTTTTTCCCACCAGAGGGACAAGTTCCCAGCCGAAGGGGATCACAACCTGGATTCTCTACCCACCCTGGCCATGAGTGCAGGCGCGCTGGGAGCCCTGCAGGTAAGGGCAGGGGAGTGGGGTGGAGCAGAGGTGGGGCTCAGGCAGTGAAGGGGGCAGGGAGTGTGGGGGCCAGAGCGGGTCTGGCCAGCTGTTCCCTGACACCCCTGCTCCATCCCCAGCTCCCTGGTGTGCTGACAAGACTGCGAGCTGACCTGCTCTCCTACCTGCGGCACGTGCAGTGGCTGCGCCGAACAGGTGGCCCTTCCCTGAAGACCTTGGAGCCCGAGCTGGGCGCCCTGCAGGCCCGGCTGGACCGGCTACTGCGGCGGCTGCAGCTCCTGGTATGTCCTGACTCTCACGCCTGATCCCCCAAACCCTGATCCCTGAGACCCTGAGACTTTGAATCCCGGGACTCCAGGACTTAACACCCCAGGACCAACTGCAATAGCCTTGCTCTGAGACCCTAACCGTGTGTCTCCAGGGTGGCCCTGAGGCCCCAGGTCCCAGGTCCCCAAATCCTGCCCAGAAATTCCAAACCCTCACCCAAAACCCTGAGACTCCATAGCCCATGATCTCTTGGGCCCAGAATTGCAGCCCCTGAGACCCAAGACCCCCAGCCTTTGAACCCCTAAAACTTGAGAATCCAAACACTCACCCCAAGATTTGGAGGCTCTGGCCCCAAGACGCCAAAAACCATGAACCTCCAGACTCTCAGACCCCAGACCCTGGCCCTCAGATCCTGACACCTCAAAGACCCAGACCCAAAGATGTAAGATCATGAACCAAAGCCAGCCTTGAGACCCTAGCTCTACACACCCCAGACATTAAGAACCTAGACCCTAAGATCTCAGACCCTGAGCCCTGAGGCCCACTCCCCATATCTTAACCCCCGAAACCTCAGATCCTAAACATGAACCTGTAAGATCCCAAGACCCTGATTTCCAAAACCCCAGGCCCAAGACCCTGAGACCAGAAGACTTCAGACCCCAGTTCCTGGGCCTGACCCCAATGAACTTAGATCTCAAATTCCAACTTCTAGCTCTGAGATCCCAGCCCTCACCTGAACTTGATCCTAGAGACCCCAGATCTAAGACCCCAGCCCTGAAATCCTGGGCCTGACCCTAGACCTGAGCCCACATACTCCAGCTGTCCCTAAAACCCTTGCTCCAAGATTCCAGGCCTCTCCTGGAACCAGGATCCCAGCCCTGCCTACACTGACCTCACCCCCCACCCCCAAACCTGGTCCTAGAAGCCTACCCTGACTTCAGCAACCTTTTGACTCCAGCCTCAATTTTGTGAACCCAAGACCCTGGAGAGCTCCCTGCAGACACCTCATGCCCTACCCAGAGACTCTGCAAATATACAGCCCGGACTTCCCCCACCCCAATTCAGCTGAGCCTCCAATATCCCTTCCCTGGACCCCCACTGCACCCTCCACCTGCTGCTGACCTTCTGAACTCTCCCGACAGATGTCCCGCCTGGCCCTGCCCCAGGTGCCCCCAGACCCACCAGCGCCCCCGCTGGCCCCACCTGCCTCCGCCTGGGGAGGTGTCAGGGCCGCCCACGCCATCCTGGGGGGACTGCACCTGACACTGGACTGGGCCGTGCGGGGGCTGCTGCTGCTGAAGACTCGGCTGTGACCCCGGATCCAAAGCCACCATCGTCCTTCGAAGCCAGATCTTATTTATTTATTTATTTCGGGACTGGGGGCGCAGCAGCCAGGTGCTACCCCCCATTTTCTCCCCCTAGTCAGATACAGTCCTTCTGTGAGACCTGGGGGGGGCATCTGTGCTCTATTTATACTTATTTATTTAAGCAGTGGGGTGTGGGAGGCAGGGGGACTCCCGGGACCCTGAGGAGGAGGCAGCTGGGACCCCGGGTGCGTGGCTCTAGAGAAGTCTGTCCGCAGTGCCTTCCTGGCTCCCACCCTCTGGCCCGGGCAGGAACGTATATATTATTTATTAAACAGTTACTTTTTGTGTTGGGGTGGGAAGGGAGGGATGAGGGAAGCCTGGGTTTTTGTACAAAAATGTGAGAAATCTTTGTGAGACAGAGAATGGGGAATTAAATTTGTCACACAGATCCACTTAGGGGTGATTTCTCTAAAGGCTGGGGCTGGACGCTGGGGTCTCTGGGGCAGGCAGGGGAGGGGAGACTGGGCAGTTGTCCAGAGAGCTCTGTGAAGGCAGAGTCTGAGCCTCACCTGGTACCCAGCACTTCATAGGTCCTCAAAAAATATTTAATGGAAGGTTCCAGAAGGTCACTGACCTGCAAGCTCAAGGTCGTTCATTATGGCAATGTTCACAATAGCAAACTGGAAACAACCTAGATGTCCAACGCTGGGGGATCGTTACACAACATATGGCGCACCGCGTGATGGAACACCAGCCAGTGCTGACAGGGAGGCCACGGGAGAGCAGCCGGGCAGGTGTGTGGGACGTGAGACAGCAGGCTTCAAAACCACTGAGGGATCCCTGTTTCGCATTTCTCTTTATATATATCTATGGATTAAAAAAAAATCCCAGAGGGAAATACAACAAAATGTTGACAATGACTGTCTTGGCAGGGTCAAAAGCGAGAGGTGGGATTGTGGGTGACTTATTGTTTGTGCTTGTCTGTATTTTTTGGAATTTCTGCCATGACTGTATTTTGCATGACACATTTAATAATAAACACTATTTTTAGAATGACATATACCAACCTTCCCCTTACCCCCAAAAAAGCCCTCCGGAGGGCATGAGAATGACCGTGGATTGAGCCCCCGCTCTGGGCCGTGCTCTGCGTGCGGGCTCCTTAGACGATTCTCCCGGCCCCTCGAATACGCCGTTTTCAGGTGAGGGAAACTGAGGCTTCACAGGCGTGAGGGGTTCCGTTGTCCAGGTCCCACGACTCAGCAGAGAGGGCGCCGCAGTCCTGCTCTAGGTCTGGCTCGTTCCGAACCTCAAGTCCCTTTCTTTGCACCTCAGTGCTCAGGAGCCATGGACCTGGGCACACACACATTACATGTGGGGAAACTGAGGCTTGGGAAGGGTTTGTGTCTTACCCAGGGTCTAAGGAAGGGTCAGCATCAGAGTTGGGACTATAATGCAAACACTTTGGTAATTGTCCTTTTATGACAATGCAGAGAGACTCCCCTGGGGGGACATGTGCTGTCACCAGTTTGGGTCTAGGGTTGGGGGTGCCCAGCCTGGGGCTGGGGTTCTGATTCACTCGCCTCAGCCCTCAAGATTCCAGGCTTTATCCCCAGAGAAGGGGGCCCCGAGGCCTGAAGAGTTCCTGGGAAGAGGGCCCTGTGGATCTGATGAGGTCACAAAGCCCCTCCACCGAAGGCCCCTCCCCCAGGCCAGAGCTGTCCACCCCCCCGCAGGGCCATGGCCCAGGCCGGAGCCTGCCCACCCTGGGGCAGCTCTGCTCTCTGTAACCGCTGAGCTCCCGGCACCCGAGAAGCCCGAGGGGCCAAAGCCAGTGGGCTGGGGCAGGGCGGGCTGTGCACCTGGCTCCCAGGTCCCTTAGTCAATGCCCCGCCTGCCACTTCTGCAGCCACCATGAACCGCCTTCAGAACATCAGGCGCCTCCAGCCACCCCAGGGTCCCCCAAAGTGGGTCCCCATTCTGGGGGAGCTGCAGAAGACCCTCCAGAAGGGCGAGTACTTGCCCCTCCGCCCGCTGCCCATGTTCGAGAGTAACTTTGTCCAGGTCCCCCAGGCACCCTGGGGGCTGAGAGGGGCAGGAGGGGAGTGAGACCACCTGGCTTGGGGGACTTTGAGAGGGACGGGGATCTGGGCCTCCACAGCTGGGGGTTCGGGCTGGGGGTGCCAGAAGTGTGTTGGAGGAAGGCGTAGTCCCAGCCCCTCTCCCTGGCTGCCCCAGGTGACAAATCGCGGGGGGCCCGTGTATGTGCATCACGGAATCAACCGGCTGACCATGGGTGTGGCCGCCTCCCTGCCAGGCCTGATGCTGCCAGACATCTTGCTGATCGCCCAGCCCCCCGAGGGCAGGGAGGGTGCAGGCCTCGTCCTGACCAGGTGCCTTCCTGTCCCCATCCCCGGCCTGCCCCTCTGCGGCCCCCTGCTCTAGCAGTCCCCTCCCCCGCCTCCCCAGGATGATCCCGCTGGACCTCGTCCACCTCTATGTCCACGACCTTTTCACCTGGCGCCTGAAGCTGCGCCTGGTCACCGGCCGCTACTACTACCTGGAGCTGGAGGCCCCCGACAGCGAGGTGGGCTTCCTGTTTGACCGTTGGATCCGCCTCATCAACCTGCTTCGGGAGCCTGCAACCACCTGGGCCCCCAGGGCCATGCACACACCCCGCCTGGATGTGCCCCTGGCCGAACCGCCTGCCTCCACCTGGCACCTCCAGGTGGGACCCTAACTCCACAGACCCCCAGGGCAGCAGCCCTAGGAACCCACCATCTAGATTCCAGAGGGAAATGGCACCAACAGCCCAAAGTCCAGGGTCCCTGGGGGAATGGGGCTGGGGACGGGACCCCTGGGTCTGAGGAAGAAGGGGCTGGGGACTGGGGCCTGGGGACATAGACTGCTGGCTGAGTAGCTCATGGAAATGTGGAAAGAAGGAGGGCTGGACCTCCCGACTCCCCTTCTCTCTCCACAGGTCCCGTCCTTTTGGGAACGCACAGGTGAGCGGGCCCTGCCGTCCTCAGTCCTCCGCTGGGCCTCGGGTTCTCCAGCACCTGGGCTCTTCCCCCTCTCCCCTGGCAGAGCCCTTCATGTGCTCCTTGGGGCCTGTCCTTGCGTCCTCTGCTCGGGATTCCTAACTGGGGTCTCTCCCCTTCTCTTCCCAGTCACGGTTGCCCAGCCTTCCTTTCCTTATAAGATGCTGGCAGCTCACAGACAAAAGAAGGCCGCGGTGAGCTGGCTGGGGCGGGCCTGGTGGTCTGGGGCCCGACGGCTGCCCCTTCTCTGACTGTCCCTTCCTCACCTCACCGCCAGGCCCCCAAGCGCAGATTCAGGTGTCAGGCCGTGGGTGACTCTGTGCCACTCATCTGCTCGCAGCTGGAACATGCTGACGTTGGGAAGAAATCCAAAGAAAAGAAGTGGGCAAGGGGTCTTGTTGCCCGTGGGGCTTGGGAGAAGGATGGGGACCCTGCCCCGGATGCCACCAAAGTCGCACAATGTTGCTCCTTCAGGTCCCACCCAGACACCTGCCCGGATAGCTCTTACACCCAAATCCACGCTTCTGGTAAGATCAGCCCCCTCCCCCTGCCACCATGTGTGGCGCTTGCCATGGCGCCAGGCCTTTCCCAGCAGGGCTCAGCCTGCTTGCTCTCCACCCAGAGAAGGCCAGCGTCACCATCCGGACCATCTTCAGCATTGTCTCCAGCACCGCCAACCAGACGCGGTCCTCTGCAAAGGCCAGCTACATACTAGGGGCCATGGCCGGGCTCTGGGTCTTATAGGGGAAAGATTTGGAACTGGATCCCTGGGTCTGAGGGAGGAGGGGGCCCGGGTTCTAGACCCCTGGATCTGAGGGAGGAGGGACGGGGTTCCGGACCCCTGGGTCTGAGGGAGGAGGGGATGAGCGCCAGGTCCCCTGGGTCTGAGGGAGGAGGGGGGGTGGGGGCCAGACCCCTGGGTCTGGGGTCGCCCCCAGCCCTGACATCCATCCACCTACAGGCTGGCACATCTGACTCGGGTGAGGCCACAGGCCAGAGACGTTTGCTTGAGACCCCTTCACACTGTATCACGGAGGACAGCCCTGATTTCTTCTTTCCGTGCTCCTACGATCACTTGGACCCGTACCTGTGGCGGTACCACATCCAAGATCTCATGGACCTTGAATCCAGCACTTTGTCCTCCACCTCCTTCAGCGTGGCTCCCTACCCTCCCCCTGCATACCTGTCCGCACCCTACTCCTCCTTTCCCAGAGCCAGCGAAAAGCCTAGGCCTACAGGCTCCCCACAGGGGCGGGGGCCACCCCCCTCCCAGAGGGCCCCATGTGTCCCTGTCCAATCTTGCAAGGCCCCATTCATTGTTGACCAGTCTCAGAAGATCCCGGCTGTACCTGCTCCATCCCGGAAGGCCCCAGCGCTCCGTGCTCCACCCCAGGAAGCCCTTGAATCCAGCACTTGGAAAGCCCTGGCCGTACCTGGGCCATCCCAGAAGGCCTTCACCATGCCTGGTCCAATCCGGAAGGCCCCACGTGTATCAGCTGTCCCTTGGAACCCCCCAGCCATACCTGCTCCATCTCGGAGGGCCCCACCTGTATCAGCTGTTCCTCGGAAGGCCCCATCCGCACCTGCTATTTCCCAGAAGGCTGTGTCTCTATTTCTCCCTGGCGACTCCCAGAAGGCTCCGACCTCACCTACCCAACATCAGATGGCACGTGGCTCGTCCACCTCATGGGGTAACGCCCCTGCCAATTTTGACCTGTTGCCAACAGGACTTCCTGATAGGGACACGCTCCAGAGAAGCAAGACTGAAGGGAAGCCAGAGCCAGCAGTGATGGTGGGCACCAAGCAGACAGATGTGGTGGAGATGAGGACCCAGACGAAGTCCCTGGAGTTGCCCTTCACCACGACCAAAAAGGAGTCTGAGGACATCATGATCAGCAAAACCCGGGAGATGACCCTGGAGGGCTTGAGGGGCTGGGGGAAGTCAGAGGACAGGATGTGCCGGGCGAAGGAGGAGATGTCCCTGGACCTGCCTGGCGGGAGGTCCAAGGAGGTGGTACAGCAGAGGAGGTGGGTCAAGACGCAGGAGCTGGCCATCGAGGGCCCTCCCGAGGAGCACAGCAGACCCTTCTCGGTGGAGGGGCTCGCTCTTGCCAAAATGATGATCATGGCCAACTCCAAGGAGAAGCGCTTGAGAGCCGCTTTGGTCTCACTTCCCTCCTGGCTCTCGGTGACCTCCCACACCTCTGCCACGCCTACAATGGGCTCAACGCCCTTCAGCTCCAACCGGCTGGAGGGGCCGCCGGTGATGGTGACGGAGTGGCCAGAGTCACACACCTGGATGAAAGAGAACAAACAGCAATGGACAGAGATGAAGGAGCCACCCTGGGACAGAGCGAGGCCTTCCAAGGTACCCCTCCACTCTAAGGCCACCTCTGGCAGTCCGAAGATGGAAAGTATCTCCCAGGTGCCCATCCCCCTGCCCGCCTCTCGGTGGGAGGACTTACCACCATCACCCCTCGTGGAGACCCCCATCTCAAGGATGGAGGCCACCGCCAGGGTGCTCCAGCAGCCCACGAGGACATCTCAAGAGCCCATGACGGTGCCAAACCAGCGCCCCCTGGCCATGGTGGGGTCATTCTCGAAGATTATCTTGCCCACGCTAGTAGAAATTGAGAATACGAGGGACACAGCCATCCAGGTAGAGAAGATAAAGGAGGAATCCCCCATCTTCAATCCTCCACCCAGGTATTTGGGTTTAGCAGGGAGCATTTACTGTCAGCTCTGTTATCTGCAAGGCAGAGACCATCATTCCCTGGTTTCACTTTTATTCATGCATTTGATATATAGTGAGTGTCGACTACGTGCCAGGCATTGCTCTAGGCAGCAGGGAAATAGCGTCCAACAATGGGCGTGGAGGTGGTGGGGTGTGTGTGTCTAGTGGATAGAGACCAGCGATGCTGCTAAACGTCCTACAATGCACAGGACAGCCCCCACCGCAGCACAGGTGGTCTAGGAAGGCCTTATTGAGCTGGGAACATTGGTTTAAAGATCTGAAGGAGGGGGGTGGAAGCCACGAGGACATGTGGGGGGAAAGCATCCCTGCAGAAGGAATAGCCACTGCAAAGTCCCTGAGGCAGGTGTGTGCCCAATGTGCTGGACCAAGAGTGAGCTCCAGGGGATCCCAGAGAATTGCAGTCAGAGGAGTGACAGGGGCACCCATCATGTTGGACTTTGCAGACAGTTTTAAGGACTTTGGCTATGACTCTGAGGGAGCTGGAGGGTTTGGGGCAGGACAGTGGCGGGAACCAATTTGTGTTTGAAAGGGCTCTCTGGTGGGAGCATAGAGAATGCAGAGGGGACAAGGGCGGGAGCTAGGAGAGCCCAGAGGAGGCCATAGCACTAATCCAGGTAGAAGATGATGGGGACAGGTGGGCTCTGGAGCAACTTAGAAGCATGAGCCAGCAGATCGCTTCACAGGTTGGGCATGTGGTGCGAGAGAAAGGCTGGCATTGCCGATGCTGGGAGGAACTGGGGCCCAGAGACCCGGAGGGTGCAGCAGGAGTGCGGTGGAGGAGGTTTCCAGGAGAAGCTCAGGAATTCCCTTTTGAGCATCTGGATTCTGAGATGTCCAGGGAATTGCAAGTTAGGCAGCCGGATAGGTGAGTGCGGAGGTCAGGGGAAGCCATCTGGGGAGTCGCCGGCGTGTGGACGGGTTACTTCAACCTGTGAGGTTGGAGGAGTTCCCCAGCGAGTGAGTGGAGACAGAGAAGAGCAAAGGTCCAAGGTATTTAGGAAAAGAGGAGCCCAAGTGAGAGAGTGGGCAGAGCAGCAGGAGCCGGGGATTCCGACTGTGTCAGATGCCACGACTGGGTGAGGAAAGGTGCGTGCTGGGGTGGGACCTCTGGATTTGTCAGCGAGGGGTGACACTGGGGGGATGAGGACCTTATTGGAGCAGGCTGAAGAGCAGAGAGAGAGGGGAATCGCCCGGCTGCAACACGGGTGAGCCTTGCAAACATGCCCAGTGAAAGTGGCCACGCACAGCAGGCCACGTGGCACAGGGTTCCACGGCTTAGGCAGATCCGTAGAGACAGAAAGTGGATTGGTGGTGGTAACTGCTAATGGGATGGGGGTTTCTTTTGAGGGTGACGGAAACGTCCTGGAACTAGACCGAGGTGGTGGTTGCACAACA